GCCTAAGGCACTTGACTGCTTATCAGAAGGCTGGCGGTTCGATACTGCCTCGGAAACCCAAGGAGGGGTTGCTATGAGTTGGGTCCAACTTGATGGCACATAACAACAACAATATGAGTCGGGGCCGACTCGATGGCAAATAACAACAACAACAACAATATTACAGCCACTAATTTGAAAGTTAAAATATTTTGTATATATATTTAGATTTATTTGGTCAAATCATTGCTGTTTCATTTCATTATCCTTGTTTTACTCTCCACTAAATTTAATGAAAAAATAATCGAAAAAGATATGTCAGTATCTATACTATATATGCATTTAAAATTTTGGTGCTATTTCTGATTCTATCTTTATGAAATTAATTTATATGTTTAATATAGTTTTAAAACTTCTAAGACTTTTTAGAAATCTTTATATTTTATTCTAAGCTTGAGTAGTAAAAGTCAGTTTAGAGTATATTATTTTAATATATATAATAATCAGTATTTATTATTTTTATTTCACAATCTGCACTCACATCTATATATATACTTTCAATGTCAGAATAGACTCAAGGGCAGTGAGTTTGGTTTAATATCACAAAGAAAAGGCACTTTTCCTGATGGAATTACAACAATGGGTACAGGAATTAAAATTACAACGTATGTTTTAGGAGAATGAGATTCATTCCTTAATAGCTTCCACCCATGTGGAGTCATGATCTATTGTCTCTGGAAACAACAACTGAGATGCTGTTGTCATTGTTCTAAGGTGTTTATAAAGAGCACATCCAATTTGCTTTAATTTTGTTTCTGACTGTGGCTTCATACACCCTCCCCATCCACTAATCCTTATTTCATCTTTAGGGAATGTTCTACACCTCTAAAGAAACATTCATCAGTTAGTTTTAATTAACTTCACATACATGAATGATGGTATGCTAGATACTAGGAAAAATAATTTCAATATATCTGGTCTCTGCCTTCTAGCCACTTGCGTATTAAACCATGATAGAATAAGTTGTTATTTTTAATTGACCAGCCATTATAAGTATAGAATTTTTAATGTAAAGCTTTCTTAAAAAATTAGGTGAAACTATTACTTTCTTCTATGAAGTATTGCTTAATAATGCATATTTGAAACATATTGAACAGCTGAAAGTGCCAGAAATGCATTATAGTTACATTTTGGACTCCAAAGAAAGTGAAAAATGACTCTGGGAGCTGGAAAGTTTCAGGTAGGCTGAACTAGTACTAACAAATGTAAACAACTCCAGAATATAAACAATGATCAGAAACAGCCACTCGGTAACTGGAGTAGAGTAAGAAAAAAGTCCATTCCATAACCAAGTCTGAAACAAGACAAAGACAAGGACACTCATAACAATAGAAACTGTCATGATTGACTCTCTTGCTTTTATAATGACAACCCTTGTCTTGCTTTAATAAGTCTTATTCTAGGTAAAAATTCACAACCTAATCAATTACTGATTTGCCTCCAATTCTGCCAGCACCCAATCCAGGATGCTCTTTAGAATACCCAGCAGAACCCTAAGTCCTATAATAAGCTTTGCTATGAATCATCTCTGTAACAATGGGTTTGTTTATTTGGTTGTTTTTGGTTTAACATTTTCTTACCTAACCTACTTCCATCGAGTTGGATCTGACTCATAATGACCCCTCCTTGGGTTTCTGAGGTAGTATCACTACAGAAGTAGATTGTGCAAACTTCCTTCCAAAGAGTGGCTAGTGGGTTTGAACCATCAGCCTTCTGGTTAGCAGTTAAATGCCTTAGGCACTATGCCACCAGAGCTCCTATTTTCTTACAGAGACCCTATGATTATCTCTTGCTGCAGCAAATGATTAAACTTCTTTTGCTTGACTATTGTTAGATTTCTGGTAATCATTCACTGGCAAGCTTTGACACTCATACTGACTTCATTATGTTCATTTTTTCATTATATTTTGAAATTCCAGTTATATTAGTATTTAGATATGTTAAATAGTCTTATTAGGCTTTGTATTTTTATATAAGTGAAAAAAAAGTTTACATTAAAGATGCTGATGATCTGAGTTCTTTTGACATATCTTATTAAGCAATTTTCCATATATTGAAATCCCTATTAATTAAACAAGAATTCAAAAGGAAAAAAAAAA